GACTTTCCTAATGTCAATTCTGTTAAATCCTGCTGTTATTGCGGATTTATAATCCTGACTTGTCTGGCCATCCTTCATATCTATCGCCTCTACTGGGTATGGCTTCATTTGCTCCAACGGATTTGTTAAGACAAAATCAAGATTGTGGTAATCATGTGTCTTGCCTTCATCGATGGCGACACAAGTGTATGCTTTTTTGGCGAATTCGAGAACTTTAGCAAGGTGTATGCTGTTAGCAATAGCAATCATTCTATTTCGGATCTCATCACGTGTAATAGGCTTATATAATTTGTCAGCAAGTTTTTCCGGATTGATATTAGCTGACTGAAGTTGTTTGTATTTGTTCATCATTTGATATATTGTGAACATAATGAAAATCTTTGCAACATGCGTGAATTCTGGGGATGCAAATGTGTCTAAGGCAAGGTTGAACTTACCGGTAAAAATGGTCTTAAGCCAGTTTTTATAATGATCCTCCCTTTGTTCTTGCATTGAACACCGGCAAACTACGCCATCAGATCATGTCACAAGTTCATTGCATTTTACATACCACTTGGGACTACCTTCATGTTTATATCGCATGTAAACATGTTGTTTCGTTTCAAGATCGGGATATGTTGTGAACCCGACTTCTTTCATTAATGAAGTGATTTCTTAAGTTGAATAAAAACAAATTTGATTGAAATTCATACAAAATTTCTTTTTATCATTATTATTTAAGATGCTTTTTTATGTTGAATTGTTAATTTTTTTATTTCCACCTGGGATATTTTGAATTGGGCTAGCCCAATCCCACCTCTCAATTTTCTCTCAATTGGGCAATGGGGATCCCATATAAAATGTATTGTAACAAAATTTTACATGCATAATATAGTACAATTAAACAACATTCTAAAAATATTAAATTCACATCATTTACTTGAAGATTTTATATTTTCAACAAAAATTAATACAATAATTACATTAAATTGAGGAGATTTATAATATTTATTATAAATTAAAATATTATTACTCATTAATTTGTTGAAATATTGCATTTTAGTGGTAAAAATTAAAATTTAAATTTACATGGAGAAAAAAAATTTAAATTCCAAAAAAAATTCAATTGGGATAACGATAGGGACAAAAATTTAGAATCCCCATATGCTTGGGATAAAATCACATGACTACTCACTTTTCTTCCAAATTGACATCCTTAATTATAACAAATTTCCTCAAACTATCTGTATGTCATTCAATTCCCGGCCACTACATTCAATGATGGACCATTTCCTTCAAATTTTGAAATACCTTATTCAATTTGTTGTATGGAGCCCGTGATATTCAACACTATGGAGCTCCTCCAGTTTGGTATCCAAGAAGAGATAAAAGCTAGCATGGGCTACTCTCAAAAATGCAGGAAAGAATACTCCACGATCGAATACAAATGTAAGTATCCACAATGTCAAGCTAAATTCAAAGTCCGGATAATAGATCAAGATAAATATGAACTACTAATCCACTCTGACTCTCATGATCATTCTGCACCTCCGAAATCAACAAAAACAATATCCTCATTATTTGTCAGAAATTATCTTAAACATTACTTTGAAAACAATATGAATCATGCTACAGCTCAACTTAAGTGTTTCCAAGACTTAAATATTTCATATACAGACGAAGAGTTACTTTCAATATTTGCACAAGGTCCAGATGCATTACGTAAATTTGCTCAAAGAGCTGAAATTGTTTCCAAACGCTTTAGTTCGGATGAAAAAGTTTCTTTAGCTATCTTTGTCGAATCTGTTCAAGAAAGTTGTCCAGAAGATTTAATTGAATTTATCTCTGAGCCGGGAAAACTAGTTTTTTTATATGCACCTTTCGAAGCGAAGGCCCTTGGTCACCAAATTTCTACGTTTCACATCGATTCAACGTATAAACTTCTAAGGGCTAACATTCCATTATATGCACTCACAGGAAAAACAGAACATACTATTGTTTTTCCTTTTTTGTATTTCTTTATTTCTCCTGACACAAGCGAAAATATTCAATATTGTGTTTGTCGTTATTTTCAATATATTAATAGAGAACCCGAGATGATAAGTATGGACTGCGCCCCACAAATAGCCGAGGCAATTGAGCGAGGTATTCCAAACTGTCATATTCTTTGGTGTGGCGTGCATGTCCTTCGCGCCATATTAAGAAAAGCGGATAAGTTTAAATCACGAGACAATTTTGAAGAATTTTATAATCTAATGAAATTATTAGTATTCAATACTAAAGAAGAATCTCCCGAGGAAGAACAGAACCAAGAAGAAGAAAATCCTAGAGAGGAACCAGCTCAATCTCACTTACTTCAAGCAGAAGAAATTGAAGAAGAGGAACAATATGAAGAAGAATTCATCGAAAATGAATTTCAACCTTCTCAAATCTTTTTACCACGAGAATCTTCTGATGATCCAAACGATTCTGAATTTATTCCAGAAGAAGAAACGTTTGAAACAAGTGAAGAAGTTCCAGAGCACCTCACTCAAGAAGAAGCTGCAGACCTAGATGCAGTTTATGATCGAATTCTTGAAATTCTTTCCACTGAACCGAAAGCCCAAAAGTACTTCGATAGGCAATGGAGGCATCATTTAGATCGTTGGAATAAGCGCTATCGCAACGGAGGTGACGCGACTAATAACGTCAGCGAGTCACATTTCAAAGTTCTCAAGCATTCTTATTTCCCAGAGAGAAGGAATATTCGATTAGACGATTTTGTTGTTGAATTATACACAACGGTTGTTCCAGCATTATTGATTAAATTTAAAGTTCAATTAATCAATAGTGATAAAGTTGTTCGTATATTACGAAAAGCTAATGACCATGAACAAATATTGGAAAACAAAAAAGTCGAATGTTTGAAAATGCTTGAAGCAATATATTCAAGTTTGCAACAAGGATCAATAGATTCAAATCTTGTTTATTGTACTTTAAAGGTACTTTTAAAAAAGAAACAATTAATGTAAAAGATTCAAATCATTTTTTATTATTATTTTCTTAATTTTTTAAAATAAGGTTAATAAAAGTGACACTGGATAGTTTGTCCCACACTCCATTTAAGCTAAAAAAACTAACCTCAATATGTTGTTGTAAAAGGTTATTGACATTATTTTCGTGGCCAAGTTAAAATGGTCTTATTTCTCTGAAATATTCAATTAAATATTGAAAGAAACGTAAACGTTAAATTTTGCTATTGATTTTTTTTCTTTTATTTTTTAATGATTTATGGTATGCTTCAAATATTTTCCAAAATGCTAGGATAATTCAATGTTTTCAATTCAAATTAAATTCAATCATTTCATCAATAGCGTAGTTCACATTAGAATGACACATAATATTGTTTTTGCTCTTTTAATTCAATAATGGAGAAATTTCTTTCAAAACGAGTCAATCAAATAGATATGATTTTTCATCATAATTTTAATAATGAACAATATATCTCTATCTAATGGTTTCAATGTTGTTTGAATTTTTTTTTTCAAAACAAAAAATGATAGGTGGAGATCTTCTATATGATGATTTTAAATTTAATGTTGATACAATCAACCATAAATCGCTTCTTTATCTGAATAAATTGGAGAAGGATACAATTTCTGCATTTTCATCCACTCTATATGAGTTACTCATTCCAAGCAGGTATAGTACAGTCAGTGTTGCTTTGCTTTTTGGCAGTTGTTCTCACTTAAACTTCTTTCCATATTTTTGTGAAAACTTGGAGATTCAATCAAGAGAATTCTTACATCTCGATTTGGTCAGATTGCTTTAACAAGAAATCGTCTTTTATACCAAAGATTTTTCTTTTAGGCGCCTTTATATCTTTATCCTGCGTAACCACAATCGATGCACTCAGTCAATATGACCATTTAATGTCAATATGGGCCACCAACTCACAATCCTGGTATTCTTCACAAACATTTGCAAAATACTTTATTTCTTTCATATTTACCGTTCCCATGATGTTACATAAAAGTTTTTCAAGCATGAGGTTTATGGCTTTTATTGGAAATTTATTACTTATTATATGTATAGCATGCGAGTTAGTTCTTTTAATTAACAGCATTCGAGAAAATGGTTTTGATCCACAAAAAAAGGTCATTTTTTTGGGAAAGGATTTTAATATTACAGTTTCATGTTTTTCGTTATTTAACATAGTTTTCTTTTCACATCCATTCGTTGCAATGCTTTCAGAAGACATCCATCAAGTTAATCGCTCAAAAGTATGCAAAATTACATGGTGCACTAGTCTAATTTCAGCAATATTAAATCTTGCAGGCGGATATCTTGGATATCTAACATTTTTTGGTCAGCAACAAGATGATATTATTTTCTATTCATTTGAAAATCAGAAAAATGTGTTTGTAGCTATTGGAAGTATTGCGTGTTTGATAAAAACAATGCTGTCAAATAGTATTTTTGTTTATATTTGTGCGATAGAATTGTTCAACTTGTTTTATCCATATAAGAACACTTTTTATTTTGAACGATTATTTTCAGGCTTGGTTGTTTGGTCACTAGCAATCTGCATTTCATATGGAAGCGACATACTCAAGGATGGAATTCTAAATATCATAACAGATTTCACATTTATTGTACTAGCTTTTATTTTACCATCTGTGATTTTCCTTGGGATGTTTAAATTTAAAGTAATATACCTTTCAATCATTTCAATTCTTGAGATTATTATATGTGCAACGATTGGAGGTATATTATTACACAGTTCAATTCGATCATTTATTGACTCTTATTTAAAGAATTAATCAAATCAATTTTGTTTTTTGTTTGATAACTAAATTATATTGTTCTTGCATATGCAATTGTTTAAAACTTTTGTTTTAAAACTCTGACTGGTTATTATTAAAAACAATTCTTGACACTAATTAAATTGGATAAAATGAAAAATCGAGTTTTTCTATTTAATAAAGTTCATATTTACGAAAAATCCATATGTCAAATAGTTAAATAGTAATGATATAAAATTAATAATTTTCAAACTTGATCTTCTTCATTTCTTCATCAAGTGGCTCATATTCTGGTACCTGTGATGTGAAGTCAGCGAAGTTCGATGTATCATAAGGAGAAGTGACCATTGGAATTAATGGAGTTTGATATTGATGAGCTCTCATCTTATTCCAATCAATCCCCTCAAAGTAAGGATGGTTTTTAATTTCATCTGTTCCAGCTGAACCGCTGCCAAGTCTTCTAGTTGGATCAAGGGCAAATAGCGCGTCTAAGAAATTAGCTGTAGCTTCATCAACCTCTGGTGGGTATTCTGATACACCTTCGCAAATGGAACGATAAAGGTCGTCTTCAGGCAATTGGGCAAATGGAGTATGTCCGCAGATTAATTCATGGATAAGAACGCCGTATGACCACCAATCACTAGCAAATGTGGTGCCTTCGCCACGAATAATTTCTGGAGCTAGATATTCTGGCGTGCCACATAAGGTATAAGTTCTCTCTTCGATTATTTTGGCAAAGCCAAAATCGATAAATTTAATGTGACCTCCTGCGTCGAAAAGAAGATTTTCTGGTTTGAGATCGCGATAAACGATATTGTTTTTATGCATTTCTTCAAATACCATGAAGACTTCTGCAGCATAGAAACGCACAGTATCTGGATCGAAGCATTCATTAGTCCTCAAATGTGAGAAAACTTCGCCTCCAGCAATAAATTCCATCATAATGTATAGGAAGTTCTCGTCCTGGAATGTTCCATAAACCGTAACAATATTAGGATGGTGAAGGATCGATAAAATGTTCTTTTCATTTTTTACATGCTCGACTTGTTCCAGTTGAATAATTTGTCGTTTGTTCATGCACTTCAACGTACAAAACTGCTCGGTTGGCTTGTGAAAACAAAGATTCACATGCGCAAAAGAGCCTATTCCAATTGTACGGATCACTGTAAATTGATCCAAAGAGAGATTCTTGTACATGGATATCAATCTGTCAAAGCTCTGTAAACTTCTCAAATCTTTATTGCTAACTTATTTAAATATTTTTTGTTTATTTCTAGATAAATGCATTATCAAGCTGATGCCCGTGCTTTTGTGTGAATTAAAATTAATTTGCAAATTTTTTTATAATAAAAGGGGGATTACTCCATCTACCTAACTTGATAATTTATGGATTTAGAAAAAGGTATACCTCTTTCTCCATCGTTCGGAGTTCTTTTTGCAGATCTATGTCTTTTTGAAAATATGGAAATTCCTTTCGAAAATTCTTTAACTCTTCGAAGTGTTCCATATTTACTCTATTCACAAAACCCATTAGTATGCCAATAGTTCATATTTGATTTCTAACATACAGTTTTACATCACACATTGAGGACATTATAAAAGCAATATATGATACGAAAAATTCCGAAATAAATTCTAAAGCTGTTGAAATGTTAAATTTCACACCGAAGAAAGTGATAAATGAAGCACTTGAGCCGAATTTATTGGCAAAATTTAGTAGAAATATCTTTTCAACCCAAATTCCTGATCCATATCTACTTTCTCGTATGGCCGATTTAATAATTTTATCAACAGTCAGATTATATAGACGGGGAGATACAATGAACAGCATAATTTTTCAATTAATTCAATTTATTTACGATCAATCAATTCAAGACTTCTTTTTTTCTATATTTTCAGAGGATCGACAGTACAAAAATGTCCAAAAAGACCTTATAAATTCAGGCATTACACAAATTTTATTAAGCTATTTAGAAAAATTCAATTTCGATCCGTATACTAATCCTTACCAAGATTTGAACTGTCAACGCATAATTGGAATTCTTAAAATCATTTCAAAAGCATCAAAGATTCAATACTTTATTGAAAATGCATTTCATTTTCCAATTTTAAAAATTTTATTTTCTCAGATTCCAAACGCCATAGCATCTATAGAAAATTCGCTTTGGGAAGCAATATCCTCTTTGCACTGCCAAAATACATCAAATTTTTTCAACCCTTACATTTCTCATATTTTATTTCAACTTCAAGAACCTTTTGAGCAAATATCCCTTGCAAAAATATCATCTCTTTCTTTAATAGTAAATTTAGTAAAATACAATAAAAATTTTCCAATTATTCTAAGCCAAATGAATTTTGAGCAGGTAATTCTCAGATTACTGCTCCAATTTCCTTCACACACGTTTTTGCAGAATAAAATACGCGAATTTATTGAAGAAGCTTTAGAAAACACGCTTCTTAGATTTGATTTTGCATCGTTTTTAATTCCACCATTAATGGAAATAGCAACGGCATCACCACCATCAGCATTGCACGCAAATGCTTACGAAATACTCTCTTTCATCAATGAGAACTCCAATAAGCATGGAAATCTGAAAGAAATTATTCTCCCTTCAGATTTTATTTCTTTTATCGAACTTTCTATTAAACCAAGAGCAAAGATGCTCAAATCCTTCTTTTATTAAATTGATTGTTTGTATTTGTTTTTCTCATTTACGTATAATAAAAATTAAGTACAACCTGATTATTATGAATTAATAATTAAGGAATATTCCTCTCTAAATAACAAAATTCTTTAATAAATAACAAAACATAAGATAAATGGTTGGATTATTTTTTGGTAGGATTTCTTGTTAAACTACGAGATGGTTGTCTTTTCAGCATTGGACTTGTTCCAGGTTGAATAGGTAGCACTGTAGGCCTTTTATTTGATATATATGATCTTAATTTCATTTGAGTTCTTGGCGATTTCTTGGCAGGCGCCGGCCCAGATCTTGCTTCAGAGTTTGGCCTTAGAGAAGGCAATGAAGGCGTTTTTACATGTATCTGTTTAATAGCTGCTTCTATCGGTGAGCATTCTTTTCGACGCTCTGCTTCGATTAGAACCAACTGTTCTGCAACCTTCTCGTCGTGAGATTTAATAAGTACACCATAAGTATTGATTACATTTTGAAGCTCACTTTGCTGTTGTTCATATATTCTACGCTGAGCAAGTTCTGTTTCTTGCTTTTCGAGTAAATCTGCTTCTGCTTTGATCACTTTTGCTTCTGCATAATTTCTTTGGATTGCTAGATTAACTTCATTTTCTCGTAACTCAGCTAAATTCTGGGAGGCTTTAGAAAACTGGCGAAGAAAAGACGGATCAGCATATTTAGAATATATTTTAGATTCTAGTTCTTGCTGCTGTGTAATTAGCTCTGCTTTCTTTAGATTGGATTGTTCAATAAAATCTTTTCGTTTATTATCATAGCGCTCGTTAACTTCTTTAAGTGAGGAATGAAGATTGAGATATCTGTTATATAAAATATCGCCTCTAACTTCACTCTTTCTTTGACTTTCTTGGTATTTGATATATTCATTAAGTACTGACGAGAGTTTATCTTGCTTTTCTGCAAGATCATAATCACTATTACATATTGCATCCACTCTTCTCCTTGTTAAAGTTTGAAATATATAAGGTTGCAAATTTTCTGGTGGGCAAATACCTTTTACTGACATCTGTTCAATTGCATCATCAATTTCTTGTTCAGAGGGGCTATTTACTTCTACAGGTTTTGCGTATTCGTTTGTTTGATCTATTTGGGTATGAGCAAATATGTTTTCTTGGTTCCGTTTTTCGTGCTCAGGTGGATTTTTTATTTCGGTTTGTTCATTGTGTTGTATTTCGGTAGATATATAGTTGTTTTGTTTTTTTTCATCATCATCTAATTCTTCAGATTGATTTGTAAGCATAGATGTAATAACACCACTTAGTTCCGTTTCAGAGTCCTTTTTTCCTTGTTCTGATTCAATTTCTAATTCTTTATTTGGTACTATTATTTCCATTGGGTTTTGCATATTCGTTATTTTTTTTTTGGAAAATCAATAAAAAAAAATAATCAAAAAGCAAATAACAGTATTTTTAATGATACTTAATATTATGCATCTATTGTTTTTATCATATTTTGCAAATATAATTTCATGAATCTTCAATTTGTTGGTTTAATTGAGCAATTTCTAACTGCTTTTTCTTTATAGACAAATCGAGATATGCTCGTAGGGTTTTCGTGTGAGCGGGTTGTGATGTAACACATTCTTTTGAATTCAAGTTTCTAGAGGAAGAAATAATTTTCCGAGTAGCAAGTAGACGGTTTAGAATATGATAAGTTTCTTGCTCATTTGGTGGATGCAACGAAGGTGTCCAGCCATTTCGGAGCAGTAGCGGGGTTTTTTCATTAAAACTTTCAGCAATTTTTCTCTCAGCTCTTGTGACCAATTCACCATTAATTTTTTTAAGGGAAGGTATTAATATTATTAATCCTGATTTGAATGCTGGATTTTTTGTAATGGGAGTTTGCGATAAACTAATTGACACTAAGTTTGGAAATTGAGGGAAGTTACGGAATGATTCAAATTCTGTATTATCTATGTTCAGAAAATGAATATTTATTGTATTTCCTAATCCTTCTAGTGATTTTATAGGGTTTCCATTAAGCAATAGATTTTGTGTTGTTGATGGAACCTCGATTGAATTTAATTGCAATAATCCTATATTTGAATAATCTGTGGTTCCATCTATTGTTCTATCATATGCTGAGATTATTTCTTGCTTTGCTTGGCGATATTTTCCTGATAAAAGTGTTTTATGAGCTCTCGATGTTGTTTTTAATGTTATGTTTTTCATTTTTTGATATCTGTCAGTTTATTTTTAAATGATAACTATTCCATGGACTTGCAAATCAAAGAATACTCAGGCAAAAATTTCATTTGACTTATTATAATAACAGCGACGACAATAATTTACTTCAGAAATCATATATTACTCTCTGATTGTTATAGACCGAAAATAGATTTTTTCGGTTTTCTCTTCAAATAATTGAAAGAATGATACTATTATAGGTTTATTATATTATATAGCATATAATCATGCTATAGCCGAAAATTATAAGTTTTGAGAAGATTGAATATAACACAAATAAATTTGAATGTGAGTTAAATTGCTTGTTGTTTTTAATAGCTATTTAATGAGAAATCCAATATTGCAAAATTCAAATTGAATGATTGAAAGAACAGAAAAAGTCATTCTTTTCAATTTCGAATATGTTTCATTGTATTTATAATTATATGGCAAATAAGATATTTAAACTTGATTTTTGAAGGAAAATTCACAAAATTGAATAAATTCAAATAATTTTTATTCAAAAATAAACTAGTTATTTGAGTTTAATACTAATTATCTATTCAAACTACAAAGTTTGTAATTTAAAATATTTTGTGAGATCAGATTGAATTAATTCAAGGTTCTTTTCAATTAATATTAATGACCATATTACGCATTTTCGAACATTCTAAACCAAATATATAAAAATGGGAGACGAATGTTAAATTTGCTAGACATGGGGGAGTTGTCTGCAAAGTTTTAGCTCTTATCTCTAACAAAAAATTAATTTTTAAAAAAAAGACCGAATACGTTTCACAGCGAGAAAAAAATAAAAGGCAAAATAGAATTTTCTAGACATAAAGAAGTTGTTTACCGAGTTTTAGCTCTTATCTCTAACAAAAAATTAATTTTTAAAAAAATGACCGAATACGTTTCACAGCGAGAAAAAAATAAAACTGTACACTGATTTTCATTTTCATTTCAGTCACTTTACTTATTATTTTTTCTTTTTTTCATTTTAATTATAAATTATTTCATAATACGTTTATTTACGTTACCATTTTCTTTATTCTTTTGAATTCCATACTAGACACTTATAGAATATTTTGATTGTTAACGTACTTCATTAGAATGAATCCTTACAAAGGGTATGTCGATCGAATTTACCTAATTGGTATTTCCAATCAGATTGAAGAAGGTAAAATGGCATGGGAAGAAGCTTGCACCCATGTTCCCATCGCCCCAACCCTTCAATCAAATGATTTCAAATATTTAGATGTTTCAAAATCTTTTTTACAAAATCAATTTAGCTTACAGAATATCCCATTGCCTAAAGGCAAGAAAGGTCGTAGGGTCAATCCCTACGACCAAATCAAAGCTCTTGCTGTGATACATGACCACTGGGCCTTTCCCTGTGGTCAAACAAAACAATGGAAACGTTTGAAATTAGAACAAATTGATGTGTCTTATAGAGAAGTACGCAGATACTTCAAAGAAAATCATTTCACCAAGACGCGATTAGAGCATGCCGGGCCAGAAACAGCAGTAAGATATTGGGCGCTTTCACCCAATCTTATCTGGCACGCAGATGTTCATTATTTTAGGGGTGTTCGTGGCCAGTATATTTATGGCATAATCGACGATTTTAGCCGCAAAGTCCTAGCGTGTATACAAATACCAGATATGCTGGCAGCGACGACAGCGAACGTTGCGGCTTCCGCCTTCATTGAATTTGGCGCCCCTTATTGTTTCTGGACCGACAACGGTTCAGAAAATAGGGGCGCCTTTCAAGATCTACTTGATCTTTGGGGCGTCAGTTAGTATGGTTATCTTGGGTACGGCGGCACTGCGTTCCACCTTACCCAACTTAACCTTAAATATTTACAAAACCGTCTGACACATAAATGACTTCACTAATGACTTCACTAACGACTTCACTAACATTTTCGCTAACGACTTCACTAATGAAAAAATAAACTTTCTCACTAACGTTCCCACTAATGTTCTCATTTACAAAAGTATTGCAGCGCTTCCCATTGCTGTGCTTCACACAATAGTTCATATTCTTCAGTATCGCTGCTGTCACTCCAATCGTCAGAGTCAAAATCACTGTCAAAATAAATGTTAGTAAGTTTTGACAAAGCTAATGAAACACGCTTACCGTTTGTATCTATTGCTTTTATAAACTTTCCATTCTTCATTCCTTCATAAACGCTCAAACTAACTTTACCCTTTCTCCCTCGTATCTGATAGAATGTATTTTCACGAGGAACGAAGAACAAATTCTTGAACTCATGACCGTTGTAGTTTGTTATCTCAATAGTTTTCGTCATTTATATAAAATAAAATAAAAAATAAAATAAAAAATAAACTTAAAAATAAATGATATCACCACTCCCACACGTATGAAAACATCCATTTAAATTTAGGTGAAGTGGTGAGATCTCACCTCTTTTTTCACCTCTTTTTTCACCCTGTTGAACTCATTGCTTTATAACTCTCTTCCTTGGTTTCTTTTTAGTTGCTTTCTTCACGTCTGTCTCCAACTTGACTGTCTTTCTTCTTCGGCCGTAATGATACCAGTTACTTCCACCAGTCAATGGGTCAAATGGTCTTTCGTAAGGGTTTCCATACATTCCATAGGGACCATACGGAAGAACTACTGGTGGAAGTTGTGGAGAAGAAACATTTTCTTTAGTTCCATCGAATCTATTTAAATGCATTGTTTCACCTTTCATCTGGTCATTAAAGTCTTTTGCGTGTTTTGCAAACTCATCGTCCTTTCCTAAAGCATTTTCTGACTCAGTCGCAACCAAATTGGATGCTTTATTTATGAGCCCTATTTTATTTAATCTTAACTTCTTTGCAACCCAGCCTCCAATCTTTCCTTTATTTGCATCTAATGTCTTCGAAACCCTTCCTCCACTCATTTTATTTACTGCGTCATAAGCTCCAAGTGCTTTTGCTCCAAATGCTAATGCTTTTGTTCCCATTGCGCCTAAAGCTGCCCAAGCTACCATTTACACCATATTAAAATCATCTCTCTTCAATATTATCTCATAAAAGTTCTCGTTACTGGAGAAAGTCAATGAAACATAAGCGTTCTCACGGGCTTCGCCCTCACCGCTTTGCGGTCTATCTAACTTCTTTCTTATATCATCTATACGCTTCAAAATGTCTGAACAATTGCTAACATCTTCTACAACAGTTATTTCATCATGAATGACCTTCAAGAACAAGCTCATTTAATATGCAATTAAAATCATCTCAATAATGAGTCCATCCTTTCCGTCTTTGGGTAGCACAACATCTTTCATTGAAGAAGGTTCGACAAGTCTTATGTTAAACTTACTGACAAAGTTTGTTATACTATAATGCTTCGGCGGCGAATACATGTAGTTTGAAAGACATAATATAGATTCTTCAGCAAATTCACTTATACTGGATTTTATAACAATGTTCTCACGAGACCAAATGCCACCAATTGACAATCTTGTAAGCAATCCTGCTGAGCCTTCAACTGTAAACGTCGATGGTAACATTCCACGAAGGTCATCTATTGACATCTTTGAGTCACTGAATTTAAAGATTTTCTTAAAGCAATCGTCATTATCTAACCATGCAATAGCTTTGAAGTTTTCATTCGAATATACATCTGCTTCATTAAATGTAAATCCTGACTTCTTTGCAGAGATGACTTTAAAATCTATTGAGTTTGTTTCAAAATTATATGCTATGGTAACTTCTGAAGGTAATGGATGTCCTTCCGCAGTCAGTTGTTCTCTCACTACCATTTGAAGCTTTGTGTTAAAAACTTTCATGTCATCTCCTGTATCTAAGTTCACATACACAGCAACAGGGAAACTATCTTGCTTCTTTGTTTCATCATTATATCTCAAAACATTAAAGTTCTTCAATAATATTGTTCTTCCTGCTGGAATACTTCGAACCTGTCTGATTTCAATAGCTTTCTCACCTCCTACATACTCTACCCAGTGCCTTGGATATTCATAAGTATACTGACTTTCTTGAATTTTGGTAGGTTTCATCATAACGTGTTCATAGTATATCTTTATACTCTTGTCAGTTAGACTCGGTGCTATGTTCTGAATATTTCTGACTTGCATTTTTAATGGAGATAAAATGAAGCATTTAATACATGACGTAGATGAAGACATGAATGAAACTACAGACAAACTTAACTCTTCTCTCATTCTTCCTTTCAGTAAGGACTATGAGTTCTGTTCAAATGGTGTTTATTTCTATTGTGGAAAGATGGGTTCAGGTAAGACATTTAACCTCATTCGTCATATACTCATAACAGAGCGTTTAGGAAACGACTCTTACTATGACCAAATCATTATATCAGCAACTTCAGACTCTATGGATTCAACAGCGAAAACATTTTATGTCAAAAGTTCAAGCCTCTGTCGTTAAAGTTTCAGACAGTGAACTCATTGAATTTCTTCAACGTTACATTCGACGTAAGAGGAAATATTATGCCATTGTTGAATTTATACAGTCAGGAATGCAAAAGACTTCAGAAGAGATGGAAAGAATTATTGACAAACACCACTTACGTCAATACTCAGGAGTTTACGATATGAAACGACTGACAAACTACATTCTATCAAAAACTTTCAAAATACCCCTTCAAAAAGTATCCTTCAAACACTCTGCTCGTTTGTGACGACTTCGCCGGAAAAGGTTTAGTTTCAAAGCCTGACTCACCATTAGCTAACATCATTACTAAAGTCAGACATTACCACTTAACTGTAGCAATACTTATGCAAACATGGCGTTTTCTTGCTTTAAACATAAAACGTCTCATAACTGACTTCGTTATCTTTCAAGGTTTCTCACGTTATGATATTGAACTCATTTGGAAACAGTCAGGTATAACATTACCTTTTGAAGAAATTTGGGAAGCATATAAGTCTCTCATCTCTCCTCGTTCATACCTTGAGATTCATATCATGACTAATACCATTAAAGTCAAAAATATTCCATGGGAACGACCAACATTGTTTTAAAGTTTAACCTTCAATTGACTGATGGTAAACAAATTCCATGCATCTCTGTCGCCATTTCTGTTAATATTTTTGCTGTCATTCATATCATCCACTTCTCCATCCGTTAGCTTTTGAGGATATGTGTTAGAATAGCTGTTCTTAAATGAAGGCTTCTCTCCCTTGAGAGCATAAACTCTATAACTTTCTGCATACTTTATGTTTGAACCTCCTGAGCCATCATTGACATAAATTTTTATAGGCTTCCACCCTTTGTTCATGTTCCTGCTTCTTCCCTTAGCTCTTTTTGTTCAGTAGTTCTACATCTTTATACACAGCACCTGTCTCAGTGAATTCAACAATATTTTCATTCGTTAGCTTTACATTCAAACCCTTGTCGAGTATATTGTTCATTTCATACATATAAAAGGTTTTTATTCTATATGAAATGAGAAGCAAATCCATCTTAGCTGGTGCCGTTAATGTTCCAATTGAACCAACATCAAATGTTGACTCACGAACGACAAACAATATTGTCATAAAGAACTATAGTTCAGAGTGTTTGAAAGAAAAAGAACCAGAGCTGAAATCCGTGAATTTAAACACAGCTTCAAACGCTAACGCTACATCAGATGTTAAGTTAGAGTATCCACCACTGGACCAAATTCTTTCAAGAGAAGCCAACGACAATCCTTACACAAATGTTCAAACAAATCCTTCAAACGTAGACCATTACCTTCTTCAGTTATACCAAACAATTTTACTCAAAGACGATAAGAAGCTTTTGACAAATCTTATAAGTAAGAACCAAATAATTCTAACAAAGGAGGACCTTGAAAATGTTATCTCACGAATAACAGGGAAACAATGTGTCATTGACTATCTCGACCCTGAAATCGAATGCTGTGGTCAAACTCCACCATTCATGAAAATAGGTAACATCCGCATCATTGAAACACCAGGAACTACAGGAGTTGAGTTTAAGTATAAATATTCGAACGAGTATACAAAACTTTCAACAGAATATAAACTTTGCTTGAAATATGTTTTAGTAAATTAAAGCAATTTGTAATATCTATCCAAAACTTCTTCAACAGTATCGAACTCATCTTCATAATGCAAACCTAATCTTATTGACTTGGTGCAGTTTTCACTAACACAATATTTTTCTGTTCTCTTGACTGACATAACTAACTCATTTGTTTCATCAAACAGCAACAACCAAAGTTCATGACCTAATACATAACATTCATACTTTATATTTTTAGCTCTGAGTTCTCTTGTAAGCTGTTGCATTTAATATTTTCTAAAAAGTCAACTTCAACAGTCATTCGCACTGGTGCCTTCAGTTCTACAGGCTCTCCTTGAAAGTCAACAAGTCTGAATTGCATGTCTTTCAAATTATGAGGACTAATGCGAACCCATTTACCTAAATGAGTTGCTATGACAGGAACGTTTGGAATGAACATTGAATTTACTTCATAACAGAAAGATTTATACTCTACTGAACCTTTACTATTAACTCCTGAAATGCCTGTGACATTAGCTATTTTAGACTCAATGTATAAACAATTGCCATAACATACGTATGGAACAGATTTCATCTCAATCGTTTTGTCAACACTTTTCAAAGGAAATGTCATATGGTATGCTCCTAAAAGAAGTTGAACTCTATGACTCATTCGTGTTATCTTGAACTCTTTCTTGCTACTGAACTTCAATGTTCCCTCAGAAGAGAGTTCGACATCTATGTTGTCAATAGTTTCTTCATTTATGAGAGTATCTATGACTCCAGCAATTTTATCTATTCTATACCCAGCTCTGTTAGGAAATGTTATAACACTTCTTTTGTCATCTATTTCAATCTCTATGAAATCTGTTTCATCTGTTATGACAAAAGTTGCGATAGTATTGAAGTCAACAACTCTGAAAGCAAGTGCTTCATTCTGTAGACCTAAGTTTGTTTGTAGCTTTACTGTCCCGTATTCGTTTGGGTCTGTACTTTGCAAATAGAACAACATTTTATTCTCATTAAAATATGACTATTGCTGCATATGCGTATGAAACAAATGAAGCAAGAAGAGCACATGAACTAGTAAACGAAAACTCAACTTTAACAGTGGAAGGCAATGATTTAGTCATTGACGATGGAAAAACTAAAAAAGTCATTGATTTCGATACTTTTAACACTTATGACCCATTCATTACAATAAGTAAAGTTCCTATCATAAATGATGGAACGGTGCAATATATAAATTCTACAGTAGATGCCTCATTAGTGAAAGTATTAAATGTTCTCATTGAATTGTTAAAGAGCTTTCGATTTGACGACAACATTAAATGCTTAAAGAATTTAGTCATGAATGAGAAACAAATTCTTGGCGTTGCTGGTAGCAGTAATGATGTACACCTTATGACATTAGAATATTATAACGAACATAAAGATGAACTGAAAGGAGAGAAGGTGACACCGGACCTCAAGGACCTCAAGGACACAAGGAATACAAGGAATACAAGGAATACAAGGAATACAAGGACCTCAAGGCGAGAACGGTTTGGATGGTGTAGATGGAAAGGATGGAAAAAACTGCTAAATCATGGATATGGAACCTTATAAATACTGGTTTAACAGCTGCTTCATATGGAGTTCTTCAATACCAAATCGGAAAGATATGGGCGGTACTTGGTGAAGAATTTTAAATGACGTTAAAAATGCTTTGAACTTCATTTCAAATGGTTCGGATACTATTAAAACTTTATCTGGTTGGATGCAAGAAACAAGGAGTCAAATAGATACTGTAAGACGTATAGCAAACAATGCACGTACGGGATTGGATACTTTACGACAAGCACAAAATACACTAAAGGAAGCAAATGATATTCTTGGCTCAGTATCAGACATGCATGAAGATTGGCTTAAAGGTATTGACAAATCTTTAAAAAATCACAGTCAGTCTATTGCTGACTACAAGAAAAGTATAGATTTTTTACATAGTGCTATGGACGTACATGATGGAAGCATAAAGAACTTACTTAATGAACTTACCAGGAACTATTAAAGCATTTATAAAGTCCTTTGTAAAACCTGGTGCTCTAACATTTAGGTCTTTGAGAGCAAAAGCATTGAAGTCAAGAGATGCAGAAACTCCAACAGAACCTACAGAAGGAACTGAAACAACAGAAACTCCAGAAGAACCACCAAAACCAACAGCTAATGAAATATTGTTCGAATATTTTCCAAGGTACTCTGTTCTCATTGCATACATTCAAGAAATACTTAAGAAAGCAGACTTGACTTTAGGAGATGATGAAAGTTCTGTATATCTTTCGTTCCAGTTTCAAATAGCAGAACTTTTGAGACAGATATGCTTAATGTATGACAACATCTCTGATTTCACAAGATATGATGACGACCATGACCCGAACACGTGAAGAAGAAGTTTTACAAACATCCATTAAGACAGGAAAGGTTTTAACTCAAAGTCTCATTATTGACCAAAGATGGCGAAGTGGACGTTCTTCAAGAGCTGAAGAAAAATACTTCTTCGGGAGGTGGT